GCTAGATGGTCTGAATCTACCCCAACACCAAACGTTTGTGCGGAGACTTTTATCTGAATATTTGTCGAACGTTGGGTCTCTGTGAACGGCTGCGCGCTCAAACTGGGAAGACCCTCATTATTTGAGACTACCGTTGGACCTGCACTACAGCCCGCAGCATAGAACAAGCGGCACTGTCGAGAGAGCTTGAAGCAGCACTGCGAGTGGCCGACGCTGCCCACTAGGCCGGTACCGTCCTACAGCTATCCTAATCATAAATTCTGCCAACAAAACAAGCTCATCGATTTTCAGCGTTTACCTAGTTAACTATCAGTTGTGGTGGCCTCAAGGACAACTTCCGTGCTTCTAACGCACGCTTCCGCGATGTTTCATTTGCTGAGACGGGCCTCCATTAAACGCCTCCTCTGTCTTATGGATACTCAAACTTTGAGCCGCAGTATTTTGTTCCTGAGGCCCCGCGGGCAGGCATTTACGTTTCTCCACATGTCGATGAAGATAGAAACCACTGGTATATTCTAGGAGGTCCGAAGAAATGAAAACATTTCCATCACCACGCATGACGGAAAGCTCAAGGCCGTCAGCATCATTTGATTTAAGTAGGCCCATCCTGAATCAACGGACACTTGCTCAAAAGTTGCACCAGTTTCCACGTCATCTTTAGATCCGTTACATTCCAAGCCGACACAACCGGTTACATCTCTACAGGATGAAACTGTTATCTGTTGGTTTGCACTCTCTGTTATATGCAGTTTATCATGTTTTCTGCAGCCTACCAAGTCTTTATTCTTGTCTGTCATATTAGGTTGGCCCTTCTATTACTTTTTTTCCAACAGATGCCCTGACAATGTTATTTTTCTAGTTTTCCATACAACAGCACTCCTTGCCTGTCGCTGTGGATCCGTTGTTGCCACATCGGAATGTTCACTTTTTCTTTACAGAGGTTCTTGCTTTTCTACAGTGTCAAACAACTAAGACAAACGATTCCACAGCCTTGTAGCATATGCGGAAAACCCGCCTCCTGTCACAGTGTAATTCACTTTGAATGCTCCGGGTGGTGGAGGGGCATTTGCAGGCAACCAAATAAGCCATATGATTTGTTGCCTTACTTTTATTGCCGCCAGATACTCGCAAACATAGCCGATGTTGCACGATTTTCCAAATTATCGCATTCTCACACCATCTTTTAAAAGGCTCCTACAGGCGGCCAAGTTCTTATTATCTTTTGTCACTTGCTTGCTGTCAGGTCACGTAGAAGTCTGATCCATCTCAGATAGCCTTCTGAGATGGGTTGCGCAGTGTACACTTGCCTCTTCTCTTCTCTAATAAGTTGTGTCAATGTCTGTATTTCTTTTACCGTGTATCCAGATGGCGTCCTGGACTTTGCATTTTATCAAGCACGCTAAACGCTTTCAGGTTATTTAACCCCCCATCTACCCACGCCCTCGTACTTGTGCATTAACTGCATTTTTACGTCAAGCTCGTATTTTATTCTGTTTCTTGAGGAAGCGATAAACGCTACAATTGTGTTGTTGACCGCTACTAATGAGGTTGTAATACTGGGTTGCGATAGTGTAATATGGCATATCAGAAGACTCATGGACGTCTTTATCAAATAAAGCAATAAAAGGGTCATGAAGCACAATAACTTGAACTGCTACATGCTTGGAAAGGCTTTACAAAATCTGTGAATCAATGTCACCCCCTTCGGATGTGTAATCAGCTAATCGGAAGGAGGAGGTGTTGATGGCAAACCGAGCTCTCAAGCCTGGGAGAGGTGCTATCATTCAGTTAGATTGAATGTGCGATAAACTGACATGTGGTGGTTTCCTGTGGCGATTTGTAAGAGTCTGAATTCGGTCCAGGAGACAAGATCTTCAGTGGCTTTCTGTGGGGACCCAGTATCCCATCATTGTTTTCTTCAGCGTTGGGTGTAAATAGGCGCCCCATAATCAGGCGAATAAAGTACACGAAAAATAACAAAGTTTGTGGAGAAATGCTGGGTTGTGCAAGATTTTGTGTGGATTCCATAAGTTTAATTTAGGCGAAAGTGGCTCATGCTTGGGATAATCACTCAGAGCTGAAGCTATTAATGGACCAAAATAACAGATTACAAAATTTAAAGTGTTTTCATCGATGTCTTAAGAGCTTCCACGGCTTTCTGCAGGAAAGAAAAGTCAAAGACCAACCCGTTACATGTAGCTATCAATAAATGAAGCGCTGTCGGAGAAGAGTGTCAGTTTCAGATGTTATGAATAAAGAGGTAACGGAACATGCCATGTGAACGGAAGTTCCTATAGGGCAGCTAAAATCATGGGCTTTTAGTCACAAACTTTCTGTTATGGTGTATAGTATGCTTTTTAGGCCAACATGACAGCAATTAGTTGGGTTGCGGCCAATACCGCTAGTAGATGGGAGAGATAACTGTACACTACCAGGGAACATGAGAACGCCTCATAAGAGACAGAAGGAATACGGGCGCCAAGGGAGAATCAGCACATTTAGTCGTTCTTTAACGATTATTGGGTAGATGCCCTCCTGCATGAACTGACAGCTCATGTGGTAGAGACGGATCAGTTAAGCTTTTCAGTGGATGCAGAAATGCGATTGGTTGAACAAAAGTGGAAGTATTTGCTGCNAACGCATAGTAAGAACAGTAGAGGGCCAAGCACACTACTTCGAATAACTCCACTGGTACTGGGAAGGGCTGAGGAGGAGAGATCCTCAAATTTGGTGGCCTGGATTCTACCAGTGAGATAAGAAGTGAACCACCGCATTAGTGGGCCACCAATCCCCGTAGATCGTAGTTTGTTGAGGAGTACACCGTGTAAAACTTGCAAATCCGGACAGAAAAACGGATATCCTTTTGATCAACATAACATCCGTCTGCTGAAGGATGAAGCTGAAGAATTTTTCAAGTTCTCTGTTCCCGTTGACTTGATTGCCGTTTGTTGGTTTCACAAAGTGGTAAGTTGTTTTAAACGTATTGCACTCGTTTGTTCACCAAAAGAACGCTCAGGGTCCTAACAAAGTAGAGGGTCAAGCTTTCACCCGAGGCACACGGTGTGCTTTTAAAGGTACATGCTTCGAAAACCTTCACGTCATTTTGAGACCGTCGGATGGCTAGGCAGCAGAGAAAGTACCTTTGATGCAGACATTTGAGTTGGTTTACACAAAAAAAACCCTTAGGTATTCGGAGACATCCTGCTTTGTTCTGAAGACGGCCGCTTCTACTGAAGATTGGTCACAGTATATTCGCTCACCCTCCGAAATGTTAGGTATGCGCTGGAGAATCGACAATCCTTGTTTTTTCACCCTTCGCCCTCACATTTGGAAACAACTGGAAACACAACTCTATTCAATGGTAATGTTATCATTCCCTGCGGACTTCCGGTATATTTTCGGAAAGGAAAATGTGATAACATACTCCTTCATAAGTGTCAGGCATCGTTTCGGATACGACTCACCACGCCCGATTACAACCTAGTGCTTTGCTTTTTACGAGCTGAGGAATATGCCTTTCATTATAACCTGGAATTCATGTTCATGACTCGGCTTGGGGAATGAGGAGGCTTTTGTTTACGTGGTGGGTCTTCACAGTG